CGATGTGTGGATCGAATTCAATGCTCACTCCCCCATCGATAGAAAGTTCACCACCAGGCATAACGGTCAGATCGGAAACCACCTGTAAAATAGATGGAAACTGTGGTATCATGAAAAACTCGAGTTGCACAACATACTGGTCGACTTTGCGAGAAAATAAGTAATTGAAGCGATGAACGGAACAGGTTAAACTAAGAAGATGATTATGTATTTGGGGTTCTTGTGCACAGAGTTCTTGGGGGAAGATTATGGAGTCGCTAACGAAAGTTTCTTTGTTGTTTATAAGCTCTTGCAGTCGATGAGTGAACACGCTTCTGAAATGTTGGCGGAATATCAGTTTCATTTAGCCCGATTGTGCAAAAACCATAATACGTAACCAAATCTGAGGGTAACTTGTGCATAACCTGCCCTTGATATGTGCACAGAAAAGGTGAGAGCTACCCCGTTCCACCACATCAGGATCGATATGAAATGAGAAACAAACTGTACGTAGAGCAATATCATGCAAGTGAAACCAGCGACTGTCTTCAGATCACGGATTGGAAAACAGCCACTGCAAAGAATAACTACAAATAAACAATGGCTGCCCGACGGAAGCAGCAATACCTGGAAAGCTGATGGGTTTTTCAAATCTCGCTCTGAATCTAGTATACCTTTGAAGTTAGCCAAATACCTTTAATTTACTCCAATGACCATATCAAATTCTACCGTTGTCTTCCTTCTGTACGAAATATAAATCAATATATAAAGGCAACCGTGGGAAGCAAATAAAAGGGTTCCGTTCCTCGATGGTCATCAATGGCCAAGTTACTAATTTCAAATGGACACTTACCCGATAGGGCTCAGTACGATAGGACAAATGCAAATTTCCCGTCACCTGACCACCAAGGACTCCATGGCGAGCAAGTTCTGACGGGTTAGGTAGCTTTGAATCGATATTCAGAGTCGAGGGATTATGAATCTGAAGAACAAGAATGAAGGTAAACTTCGAAACTTAGTCTAGTCATAGGATGTAGTTTTGACGAGGGAAATGATTAATTGATTACCAGAGTCGAAACAGTAATTTTATGTGGAACTCGAGAAATCTGACAGTATTGATGCAGTTAAGCTAGATGAAATAATCCCAATACGGAGTTATTTTGAGCCGAAAGCCTCTTGTAGATCATTAGTAATAATAGCATGCATATTTTAGGGGCGTTTAAAACGACTATTTCTGGTGCCCCCATTAGGGTTGAATTGTATGAATTACACTCCTGCGAAAGAATGCGCACGCTAATGATAGAGAAACCACAGAGAATCTAGCAAGAAAGAGAATAATGTAGATTCCCTTCGGGGGAAGAAGCATGGACAAGAATGAGTTCGTGATAAAAGATGCCGTGAAACAAGATTGATGAATGGATGGGTGTAGCAAGAAAGCGTGTTGATTTAGAGGACAGATGTTTAAACAGACGCGGTCTGATAGGTGACATACGGTGGCAATGTCAACAATCACTTTAAGGAATTCCTCAGATCGGTGAATCGGACTGCAGTTTTAAGGGGTTCACTTGAAGGTGAACTGACACATAGTGCGGTTAAGACTATTCAATCTTTTGTTTGCTCAACAGAGGTTAGTTTCAATCCGATTTTGACTCACCTGATCATTAGCCAATGGGGGATTCACATCCACTTGAGACAGACAATTCCAATCCTCAAAATGGAATATGCGCAAACGGATTTCGCTCGGATCAACCGAACCCCAGAAGTTCTCTCGAGCATCGAACACACTGGGCAATTGAATAGAATGCACGGACGCTATCAGTTCATAACGCATCCCAATTTGGTGATTATTATCTGCAGTCCACTAGACCGGAGGAGGAAAACAACAACAATAAATAAAAACAGCAAATCCAAGTTTCTTTAGGAACAGCGAGAGCCCTCGAACAATAAACCGCAAAAAACACAAGGAAAGTTAATTTGTAATTACTTCTCGCACTGAGAACAATACAAGGGCTCTGTCCCCCGCTGTTAGGCATTTTTTTTTACTTCTTCTCACTACAAAAAGCTTATATAAGTCTCGTGCTCCTAAATCATTGTCATTTCTGGTATGCAACATAATCCATTGCTTCTCCTTTTCTGGATCAGAGACAATACGGGATCAAATGTCCCGCAACTGATTCAACCGTAATAAGTAACTAACGGTCATTGGTTTGCCATCAGACAGTCACTATCCAATCTTTATTCTGTTGCCCTTAAGTCTGCAAGCGGTTGTCCTTTGGTTTGTCCGGGTCACCAGTGCATTGATCTGTGTCCAAATCGTGCTATATTCGACTGTGATTGTCAGTTGAGCATTCACTTTAACAGTTGTTCAATAACCGCAAACCCCTTCTGGGAGTTGAGTATGTGTTTATTGCCTAGAAAACGAATACAGCTTGATCAAGTAGTATCATTAGGAATGGTAGAAAAACTAATATCCACACATGAATGATATGTATCACTTTGGTACACTGTTCTGCATTGCATTTCGCAATTCCCGCTTTTTTCGCCCCAAACAGCAGCAAAGTTTGAAATTAAGATTAGAAAAGACAAAATACACCCAGTATTCAGTAAAAGAATTCCGTAAACGGCAAGGAGAGATCTGTTTTATCGGTACCGTCCAGTATAGGACACAGTCGAACATGGAGACACAAAGTAGCGTATGAATCCGTACTGTTATTGCGATGGTTATTATGGGTGTGTGTTCGAATGAATCAATCAAAGATGAGTCCACATGGTGTGTTTGGACGAGATCCTACCGATTTCCGATGATTCCCACATGAATCTTCACTTCACCATGGAGTTAGAGTATGGTGATTTAGTCCCCTCTCTGCATGTGCTTCTAAGAAGGAAACCGAAGGGATCGAAAAAATGTATATCACAGACCTATACGGAATGATCAGTACTTCATTTCCAAAAATTTGCCACTGCGACAGCAGTGGCAAATTTAGTGCCTTGGTTGATCAATAGAGCCAGCCGAATCCACTGGGACAACAAGCTTCCAGATAAACTGCTTTTGGTGGACAGCAAGTTAAGCGAAAACGGCTACCTAGAAAGCCTAATCAAAGTCTACTAGGAGGAATTCTCAGCCCTCAGAAAAGGGTTCATGCAACGTTTGATTTTCAAGGTGCTACGTTAAGTGAAAGGTTAACTGGTCGACCATCCCACGATTTGCTGATAAGCTATATCTCTTCTTCAATACGAAGCCCATGCTGCATGTACAACTCAAAGACAAATTACCTAATAGATCTATCTGATTTTCTGTATACTCTTAATCGTTGCCCTGTGAAGCAGAATACAAACGAAAAAGCACTAGCCAACTGTCAGAAAGGATTTAATAACACTATCAAGCGTGGCTATCAAAAAGAATAAATAAAAATGCAACTAACGCTATCTTGGCTTACGCACTCAACATTGGTCAAAAATGCCACGAGCGGGCTTATCTTCCGGGTAGCTTGAAGACGACTAAAGGTGGTGAGATAGAATCTTATTCACAGCCGAGGCGATGATGATCTGGCTAAACAGTCCAATGACGAAACAACTTGTCAAGACCATACTGTTGCCTAAGGTCAGCGCGACTGTGCGGCCCACTAGGGTGACTCTTCCTTGACTGTTCCATCCGGGCACGCCACAACATCAGCCAGCACAACAACTGTATCAACCCTTACACAACGGATTATTAAGCGACGCTTCGTGTATTGGCCTAATAAGAAGTACCGATAAAACAAATGTCTTTCTAACTTTCAAATTACGAACTAAGCCATACATGCGCAATTGAATGCTGAATTCAAGAGAAACCACCTAATCGGCTTCTAAAAAGATAACATGCATCCCATCGAATATTTCCTGAGAGAAAGTCCGAAAGACTAAATCCCATCCTGGTTCATTGGTTGTAACACTGAAGAACAAATTGAAGGCAGTCATCTTAATTTTACATTTGAGAATGCCACGGCTTTGATGTGGTAATGTGCGTCACATATCGTTAGTAAAATAGAGTGTGCTTGAGAAACCATCTTGCGACTGATATCGGACAGCGAAATTTCTAATAACGCAAGTATCTTCGGAAGAATTATAAGTACAAGACAGACTTTCATTTTTTATCACGGAAATACCATGGAGATTGAGATTTTCTAATATACAGAGGAGATCGGTTTTCCATGAAGCAGTAACGTGACCTTCGCTTTGGATCTCTTCACGCCAGAAACCGCTTCACCTTGAAGACCTTTATTCTGTCCAGAATCTGCCTTTGACACAAAGCTCTCTAGTATACATTGAAAATATCACCATCAGTATATCCATGGATCATTTTCGGTAACCCAGCCATCATGACGAGACTGCACCTTGACGTGGTGTGATGACTTGTGCGCCTCTCTGACCCACGGAGCTACACAGGATGGTTTTGTCAAGCCAGATCTTATCAGGCCTGGAAGATCAAAGGGTAGAGGTCAGATGAAGTTCAATCTCCTGGTCCTCCAGGTTGGGGGTTTGACTGGAATTTGCGTTACAGTCAGTCAAATATGGTGTAGGAGTAATCGATCCAAGTAAGTGCACCTCCACTTAGCTTCTCCCGCTGCCTTACGGTTAGTTGCTTGTCAGAACTAAAAGCTTTGGATAAGAACCCTAATCAACTCTTCAACATGGCAAAATATCAACACCTTCTATTAAACGTCTTCGCCGTGAAAAGGAACGTGGCAGGAGGGCCGAAACGCAACGACTATCATTTCTGATCAAGAGTGAATTAAGACGGTTGGGTTATACAGGTCAGTTTTTTAGGACGAGAAACTGTAAATCTGATTGGCGTGGAATCAATCTACTTTGCAGGCAGACGAAAGTATTTTCCAGTCCCTCTATTGATAATGAAAAACTAAATTATGTATTTATTCATTCTTCGTCCGACAAATTCCCAGTTATGCTGATTCCAGTTCTCCAAACATCCAACCTTTGTTTGATCCCATCATCTCTGGTGAGATGTATAAACACATGTGTTCTCTCAAGGTGTCCACCGCACCTAGTCCAGACAACTTAAGTCCCACCCTTCTTAAACACGGTGCTCTGCCACTGTCTCAGATTTTCGCACATATAGCTAATCTTTCACTCGAACTCCGAACTATTCCAGACTGCTGGCTCCTAGTGAGAATTACTCCCATCCCAAAAGGAACGTCAAAGGTCCCAATAGCGGAGCGTTTTAGACCAATTGCTCTCACCTCCAATGGTTTGATATTGATGGAGCGATCAGTTCTTCACCGTCTTCATTTATCTCTTACCACGCCCGATGACACTTATCAGTTTGCATACAAACATAACCGTTCTACATTAGATGCCGTTTCTTCTCTAGTTCATTTCATCTGTAAGTCCCGTAACGAGAAAGAAATATGTGCATTATGCATTTATTGACTACTCTTCCGCTTTCGACTCGGTGATCCGTTCTCTTTTACCTAACAAGCTCCACTCTTTTGGTTGTCCCACTCCTCTTCTTAAATGGCTTGCTGATTGCTTTTCGCAAAGATATCAGTATGTTAAATTGGGAAGAAGGCAGTCAACCGTATCACTCAATAGATCGGGTGTACTTCAAGGTGTTGTCCCATCACCCGATCTTTTTTCGACTTAAATCAGTTACTCTCCCTGTTCGAAATTTTAAGTATGCTGATGATATCACCATTTCCGTTTCTGTATCTAACCAATCAGAACTGGTTGAATATAACACAACCCTATCCCACCTCGTTTCATATTCCACTTCTTCGGGTCTTAATCCTAAAAAATGCCTTTAGTGTATTTCTACTCTAAACCGTACCCCATCTCCTTCCGATAATGTCCAGACTCATGAAAAGCCGATGAGCAGGGTCAGCCATGTGAAGTATTAGGTGCCACATTTGAAAGTAACCTTCACTGTTACTTACATACCAAAAATGTTGTTCGCAAGTTGAAAAGTCTCTCTTTTCGGATAAGAAGACTGCGCTACTTCTGTTCTGACTCGTTGGTGATAAACGCTTTCGTTCAACAATGTGTCCTCCCTATACCCCTTTACTGCTGTCCTGTGATTTTCTCTGGTTTGTTCAAGGCTGGTTTCAAGTTACTGATGCGTGGCCTCTCAATGATCAGCCGTGTTTCCTAAATTCCGTTATCCGTTCTGACTGGCAATATGTGTAATGCCCATAGTGATGCGTGCTTGAAGTTTGCTGACAATATTCTATCTGATTGCACCTATCCTCCACACATTGATTTGTGCGCATGCAAATCCCACCCCTCCACCCGTTACAAGTACAAATGTATCCCGTCTCGTATATCCACATACAGAAACTTTTTGGTACCCTATCTTGCCCGGATACTGGCCGTCAAGGAAAGTGTTCGTTCTGAGCTTTCTAATGCATTTAGTAAGCAACTCATATTTTTGCACGTTTCACACACAACTTTTTCCCCTGTTTTTACCAGACTTGTCTATTTTTTGGCTCAAAGCTTGTATATAACTCGCTAAAGCTTGAACACAATACAATACAATACACTACAATCATTCTCATGGATCCCCTAACCGTACCCGTTCATCAAACCTCAGTGCATACTTATGCATTGCGTGTTTGGCAGCAATCGGTGACGTTCGCGTCACTGTATTTCGTTGGTGATTCGGTAACACGATTAAAAGTCGCTCACTGAATCACGTGATACAATCAAGATTTTACGGCAAATATAAAATTAACTAGCTGACTGTCTCTTACTTTGTAAGATTGAATGCCAC